CTGTTCGATATACTGGAATGCAGTTGAGAAGGAATGTGACATGTGGGTTATCAAGATTTGATAGATAGGTAGGTAAGGATGTAATCAGCTCGGTTGAATGAATAAATGGAATGTGCAGTGGTACAAATGCTATTTGTGAATGTTTATGGAAGTTATTATTGGTATTTTGTTGGTGATATTTGCAGTATTGTTAATATCATCAATAAGTGAGTATTTTTTGCTGTTTACTGTCGAGTGATTAATAGTATTACCGTCCTTGCATTTGATTTAAATCGCTGAAGGATAATTTGTAGTTAGACGATACGTTATGATTAATGATGATAGTAATTAGTGAGTGAGAAGTGGTCCGTAGAAGGGGCTAGAGCCTCGGATGTCTTGCCTGCTGTTATACCGATTAACCCATAACATGTCCCGGGGAATGGGTAACTTGGAGGCCAAGGGGAGAAAGGATACGGAAAGCAGTGAAAGGGAGAACATTTGGAGGCAATTATAGAATTAGGGTTGGATTTGTGCGATCGATGGATTAATTTGTTTTTAGTTTAGCTTGTCAACGTGGTTGTCACATATCGATTCTTTTTCTGAATAGATAGCAGCTAGTAGTGCTATTGATAGGTTTGGTTGGGATTGCATGTCACGCGAGCCAAGCGATTTGGTCTTTGTAAATTGATAGAGAGCTGGCGTTTAAGCCGGCATTTACGCATGTGTACCAATACGGTGTTATCGCGGATGTATTGAAAGATATATTGTCAACAGCCCTGTGTGTGTTGAATTTATTCATTGGAACACGTTTATATGTCACTGTTTTAAGTCAGTTCTGTGCTGCATCGGATCAGGAAGTAATATTTTTCGAGTTGAAGTGAATATGAAAAGAAGAGAGAAAATGATAATTGTATGAGTAATTGGCTTCGTGAGCAAGTCCGTTCGATTTAGGAGTGTTGATGATTGTGAGGAAAGTGGAAAAAAGTAGGGAGTTGGATTGGATGAATCCAGCAGATTGAGGATCTTCTTCATCTTGTCTACCTCTTCTGCAAGGCTCCACGGGTCTTTGCATCCATCTTTAACATTTATATTTGATGTTTGAAAATGATATTTATTTGATTCCAGGTGGTGATACAGGTCGTAAATCGTGTTTGCACAGCAGCAGCAGCTCAACGCCAACTTCGAATCTACCTTCGACAGTAGCCATAATCCATCACCACTCATCGTCATCCACAAACACGTCGCCTTCAGAATCACCATCACGTCGCAACAGCGCAGCGAGTAGCGCTGACCACACCAATACTCGTAATCTGCAATCCACACCCCCGCTACCACCAGCTTTGAAGCAGTCGAATAGTAGTAATAAGAAGGTCACTTTTGTGGTTGATAAATGTTTGAGGTTCATGAGAAATTCAAAGATCTTTCAGGTACAGTGCGCTTCTGAATTTGAGATATATGATGTGGTTTTGCGAGTTGCGAGTTTAGGGTATGATTTGAAGTTGTACTATTAAGATTTGAAGTGTTAAGGAAGTTTATGACATCTCATTGCATGTCGTATTTCATTGCTGTGTTCATTTACAAACTAATAGCAGTACTATTGATATTGAATATGTAATCGTTTTCCGCAGGAATTTTAGAATTGAATTGAAAGCTTTGAGTTTTTTTCTCAAATTATAGGTTCGGAACATTTATATACTTTAAAGATATATAGAAGATTTGTGCATCGTTTTCAAATAGTCTTTCAAATAGTTTAGTTGAATGAAGCGGTCAGGTTCTGTTCGATAGTGTCATGAATTTACTGACATTCTTCTGCGATTGAGGCAAAGTTGTTAGCTATTGACTTGTTTAACTCGTTTTGTTTTGATGTAAAATATTTTTAGAATCATTTAATTTAAAAATTGAGATGTTCCTTCCGTTTACAGGATACATATCGGAGTCAACGTTCTATGTCGCTGGGTAGTGCTCAACATGAATCCTTGCTAGCCGCTGTAGCATCTTCATCACAACGTTCTTCTATGCAAACTGTTGACATTAGCCGATCTGAGAATGGTTAGTTGGATTTTTTTGAATTGATTTGTTGCCTTGAATTCAACATATTACTGATGGTTCTATCTAGTTAACCCAAATCACTGAACGTATTTTTCGTTTTTTTAACGTTATGCGGTACTCGTGTTATGGCGTTAGGAGCCGAAACGTCTACGTTGTGCTATATATTGGCAACGTTTGCCTATCAATGAAGTCCTTATCTTGTCATAGTTTCATATACAATTGATCTAAAGTGATATTATTGAATTGATGACACGAAGACAGTGATTGTAGTAATGCTATTGCGATTGGAACACGATTTAGTTTCCGTTTCGAGCAAAATTTACTTCTGCTTGCGGATGGATGAAAGTTTTGCTCGAAGCCGAATATTTTACTGATGTCTGTAATGTTGTTGTTGAGCTTGAGACTGACTGCTATGAGTTTGCTTGTATCTAATAATGCTACTGATAGTATTGAGGAATATGCGAGAACAGAAAACACCATGCACTGATCACTACAGATCAACCAATCTGTTATTACACCAATACAGGGTTGTCATATTCAAGCTATCCATACTCTCAGGTCATCCTGGAAACATATCAATTTCCTTCTACCATTGCAACCAGCTGAACGAAAACATTATGGTGTGATGTGGTAATTTAATTGTTTAAGGTGAGCGTGTCACATTGTTGGTGGAAAATACTCGGTTTTTAATCGATCCGGCAATGTTGACTGCGAAACCGGATACGATGTTGGGTAGAATGTTCAGTGTGAGGAATCAGAGTCATGAAGGTGCTGAACTGGTACGTCCAAATGAACAAAACGAGTACGAGGTAGCTGAGGGCTTGTCGGCAGTGTGCTTCAAGGCTATTCTCGTGAGTGTGTTTGTTATCCTTACATGAAACGTACGGAAACGTTTCGTTCTCACTCTCCCCTTATGCTCCATATTCTTTTGATACTTTTTGCATTTTTTGTTGCGAATAATGAATATCGAAGAAGGTTCTTGTCAAAACGGAATTGTATTGGAAGCTGGGGAAATGAATTGATTTGCTTTGGGTAATTTTTGAATTGTTTTGTTGTGCGTTCCATTTCGCTCTGTGATTTAATGTGTGGTGATGTGGAATATCCCATCAATAAATGTGGAGCAGTGATTACAAGTAGTGTGTTGCGGGGATCAGGGAATTCCAATGACCCTGTCTGTCATGGATTTTTTTCGAGCCGACTGTATTCACGGGGTCTACGACGATTGCAAAATTTCGTCCCCGACTTTTTTCGTCCTCACAGTATATTGGTTACAATAGTGATCAAGCAGTACTGAGAGAAGCAGTATCGTGTTGGTTTGATGGTGATTGATTGGGTTGATTTTTAAGGAATATTATCAAACGGGTAAAATGCGCTGTCCACCATCGGTGTCGGCAAGCGAACTACGTGAAGCGTGTGATTATTTATTGATACCGTTCAATGCACAGACAGTGCGATGTGATAATTTACGTTCATTCTTACACGAGCTCAGTAATGAGGGTGCTCGACAGCAGTTCAGCGAATTCTTAGAAGATATCATTTTACCACAAATGGTTATCAGCACTGAGGTGAGGAGTGGATACTATTCATTGTCAGATGTTTTAGATTCGCTTTTTTTGAGTTTTTATTGAGTTTTGTTTTTTGGTGGTTTGTTTTTGCATTGGTTTTAGGTGATTTGCTTTATTGGGTTGTTTATTTTGTGATAAAATGTCGAGTTGGAAAAGAAATCCTTAGTGTTTGCTGGTGGTGTTGAGGGCGATAGCCAAAATAGATTTTGCGATCAGAGGAAACGAAGAGGAACTATTGAAGAGAGTTGTTTTAGCATGGTGATCGTGAATGCCATATTGTGGTGCTGTTGGATGATGATGTGGTGGATTGGGACGAATTGTATCCACCACAAATGGGCGAAGATACCACTCAGGTTGTGTATAGTACGCATTTGTATCGATTCTTCAAGTATGCTGAAAATAGAGATGTTGCTAAACAGGTTGGTACGATTCACTTCTGTTAAGTCATCCGTAGATTTTGTTTGTTGTTGTTACTCTTTTTCGATTATATTATTGTTATTTTTAGAAAATTTATCCAGAAGCCGTGTAATATTTATCAGATTTGTTTGCTTGTTCAATAATTCATTGCTGTGGTAGTGAGTAAATATTTGATGGTATTCATTTAGTGGTTCATTTGTTTATAGCATTGATTGGAATGTTTGTTTAAGGTGCTGAAAGAACGCGGATTAAAGAAGATCCGATTGGGTATGGAGGGATATCCGACACATAAGGAGAAGATCAAGCGCCGATTCAACAAAGCCGAAGGTTTGAGTGTGTTTGAATGAGTTTACTCTCGAAAATTGAACTCGTTGCATCTGATGAGATAATGAAAACCGTGTCAAAGCATTAATACCACATGGAATTGTCAAAAATGGATACGATTTGTGAGTGTGATAGCTGAAGGAGAACTAAATGGCGGAATATTTGCAAATAGCATCATAGAGAGGACGACGATAGCGCATTATTGAAGTGGCCTTATGAGCATTCTATTGTAAACGTAATTCGAAACTGTTTCCATTGAGGTTTAAATAGGTTATTTTCGTTTCGGCTTAATTATGAACTGACCTTGAAACTGCTGATGAACATCAAAACTTTTTTAAAATATTGCCTTGAAAAAATCGAGAGCAACAAATTTTAGTGATCTATAACTATGTGCAACGACCATTCGTGCACTGCTCATGGGAGAAGGAGGAGGCACGTTCAAGGCATGTGGATTTCGCTTGTCCGATCGTAAAGAGTAAATCGAATCCGAGTCTAGCGAGTGCAGCCAGTGACCCGTTACCTCAGGTTAGTAGTAGTGGCCCTTGGCTAATAATAACTTAAATTATTACATGTTGTTTTCACTTATTATGGTTGATTTTTATTTTTGTTAGTAGTCATTATATTAAATCACGTTCGAAAAGAAAAATCATTCCGTTTGACATAAGAATACTATCAGTTTTGTTTTGAATGGGTGAGTTTTATTTGAGACTGAAATTTTCTGTTTTGATTGAAATCCCTCTGATATCTGATATGTGGTTGTAAGAGTTTGAAAAGCGATACGACTATTCCTCATCGCTGTTTTATCATTATCATTGAATGTTTAGCCGGCACCACTTCAATTGAATGTGCCCCATCTTCATGGTGGCGCCCCAGGAGGTGGCGTTCACTTCGGAGGTGCTCCCGGAGGAGGACTTGATGTAGCACCGCACCTGGCTGCACATCATCAACTTTTATTGGGTGTTGGCGGTGTGCATTTGGCACATCAACTTGCCAATCAGGTTAGATTCAGGATTTATTTACATCTTTCTTTTCAAGACACTGAATTCAGTGTAGTTTTTAAGACGTTTGATATAGTCTTTTAGTTGTAGTTCTTTTTCAGATAGTCCTTTGACATAGTTTAAGTGCATTTTTTTCTTTCTCTTATCGAATATTTAGTGCCAATTTCTTTATTCATATTTTCACTGTCTTGTTCGTTACGGAAGCTTTTTGAGACCTCGCTTGTTTGTTTTTTTTGGATTTATCATGTATAAGCAATATAAGCTGTCATATGTAGGCAATTTATAATGTATAAGCAATATGATTTATTTTCCCCTTGTGTAAAGTATAAGTATAATAAATAAAGAATGACAATAGGAACGTTAAAGAGGAACATTCAGTTGTTCAGTGATGATGTGATCTTATCTCATTAATTTTTGTGTTTTTTCCATCTTGAAGTATCTGAAGAATTTAANGCAACCACTTCACTCCCCACCAGTGCAATTATTGGGTGCTGCGGGAGGAATGATGGCAAATGACGGCAATGATTTGGCACAAGGAGCAGCAGCACAAATATCACCTCAACCTGGAGCTGGAGCCGGTAATCATAGCCCGAGGAGTGGAAATAATAATTGAATGAATGTTGAGCGATTGAAGATGTCATTCGATCAGTTGTAGCATCTTTCCTTCTTTATGAAGTGAATTTTGTGCAGATCAAATGGAACGATAATGAGCCGAATAGAAAGCTTTTGTGGATTATTATAGGGTATCGGCAGCAGATTTATGGATTATTATAAATCTGTTGTGTTGAACGATTCAAATGATTCAAATCAAAAGCATTGTAAAGAGTGGTTTCTGATGCGATGAATGCGATTGTTTTGAGTTCGAGATACGGAATAAGAGAAAATAGAAACCGTTGTTTGTTTTTGAAATGGGTTGTTAAGGAGGGGTCGAAATTCTCTCAAATCGAAAAAAGTCGAAATTGGTGAAAAAAATTGAGGAGGTGAAAAAAAATTGAAGTCGAAATTCTTTGAATCTGAATGAGAAAGGAGATTGAATGGCAAAAGTATTCGTGCAATTGGTGATATTGATGACGATAGAATATCGTTGATCAGTTTAGCAACGTTTCATTCTCATTCGATATAATTTTACGATTAGTGTATTTGATCAACTTTTTGATTGATTGAGTGAACTGTTCGTATTGATTTTCTGTTTGTTTGTATTACGACGCAACACATGTGCTCCTCTTTCACTTATGAAAAATCTGTCTTATTTTGGAAGTTTTATCGTAAACACACCATTACTGTTGCTTATTGTGGTGTGCGTGCTTGAATTTTGTTTTGTTTTACTCTGTTTTGAACGTCAACTCTGAATAGTCGTAAATATCTTCGGTTTGTTTTGATTCCGATGTGTTTTCGTTTAGATGGATTTTGATTCGACATATATTATATGTTTTGGTTGGTTTTTTGATTATGTGTGATTTTAAGAGAATGTTTTACGCTCAGTTTTTAGTTTGCTTATCAGCAGATCGATTTAATGAGTTTAGACAATTTCTTGCTTTCACTTGTCATTTGTTCGCTTTTTTAGTTGCTGATCTTTCTTTTTTTGAGATGTTTTCTTCTCTTCAGATGAATTTAGTATGTGACTGGTATTTTGGACATATTGAAATGATAATGTTTCGGAGGGATTTAACGGAAACTTGAGGGTTGGTCTGAAACGTGATTGATTTGTTCGAGGATCAGATTTATTGTGAGTATCGTTTGGTTAGAGTTCTTGAGTTGGTTGAACAGAGTGGATTGAGTGGAAGTTTATTGGGTAGTTAATTGGCGAAATTGATTGAATGTGAATTCGTTTTGAATGCGATGAGTGATATTTGTTTGATATTGGAAGGGTTTTTGCAATGGCAATTGCATTTTGAAATGATTCAATTGGTTCATTGTAGCATATGAATGGTGTCCATTTTAAGTTTTTTTCGAATACTTATAATTCAGTTTTT